TCACAGACAACACTGGTTTGATATTATCATGAATTTCCTCAAAGTGAAAAAACAATGATAGTGTTTGCTGTTTGACCTTCAATTCCTCTTTAGAGCCGTCTCGAATAAAAAGTCACCAATCGTAAATAGAACCTCCTCTGAAGGTGCAATTGTTCTGCCATGTGCGGGCGAGATTCATTTGTGGGCTGGCTAAGGCGAATGCTTCACAGGTGCCCGCTAGAGGGCCTTTTCCAGCACCAACAAATGGATATCGACTCTTGTTTTTCTCCGCGTTTCTTCCATAGCATGTCGACTAACAGGGCCATCTACAGCTGGTGGAAACGGTGGTAAATTTCCAGAAAACTGTACCGATCCGGGCTTCTTACGGAAGCACTAGATGCGGCGCCATCCAATACTCGCAGGCCTAGAAACCACCTCGGAGTGTCTAATGCAGGTTCTTGCGACGGCTCCCGGATAATCCTTTCCAAGTTGTTGTTATTGCGCTCCTTGCAGATCATTATTTCCAAGAGGTTCTTGGATTGAGAGGATGGACGCAGTTGGTATTGCTGTTGCTCTTTGTAGTGCACCTAGAGTCTCCTTCTGACCCTTTAAAAATGGTTGGTCAGACTACCCTAAATGGGGTCGTGGACTCCTATTTTTATTTCGGGTCAGAAGGAGACTCCAGATCCAGAAGGACTCCACTCAGCCGGACTCGGCATTGATTCGGTTTTGGTTTCGGCCAGGCGCGGATCGATGAGATGCCCACACTCATCTTCCGCGCCGCACGAGATCTTCTGGCTGATGAGGCCTGAGGAGGTTCGTTCCAGAGGGCTCCTGGCGACCAGATGGCAAGCGGGGATTTCAGTCCGCGTCACCCCAGTCACCCACGAGAACCAGGGGTTCAAATCCCCATGAAACCAGGGGCTAGCTGAGAAAAATAAGCTCAGGTGATATCCCCAACAGCATGCCGTGCTCTTTTTAGTGCTCGCACCACCCCGCAGCCCTCGCAAAACCTTACCCAATTCACCCCCCCCCCCCCATTTTGGCCTACAAAGAATCTAAGAAACCTGCTTCTATGAAAAACGAGGGATTGTGTGGGGGCCCGGTTGCCCAATCATACCCCCCCCCCCCCAATTTGGCACATGTTTGCTTGCTATGAAAGAAACCGAACACCACGCATTGTGGGGGCCCTGTTGCCCAAGCACCCCCCCCAAAAAAATAAAAGAGAGAAAGGCGCAAATCCTTGCTTTTGGTGGTATTTGGCCAATTTGTAGCATTTTCTTTTTTTGCTTGTCAAGATACCAAACACCGCCCACTGCGGGGGCCCGGTTGCCCAATCCCAAAACAAACCCCTCAACTTTGGCTTGCAAAGACTCACCACATATTTGTTTGAAGGGAAGCCAAGACGACACCAGAGGCACACAAAACACCTCCAGAAGCAGGTTTGCCTGTAGTGCCCCTTTACAAATTCTTTTTTGGGGGAGGGTTGCAGTACTAAAATTGACCACAGAAAAAAAAGTTGGTACCAACTTATTCTGACCTCTCAAATCTGGGGGACCTAGAATTGGCTTCCCACAAAGTCGCCTTCCGGCGGGAGTTCGGCATGGTTTTTGGATCTTTCAGTTGGTTGGGAGGTGCTTTTTCGGACTCAGGTTCCCAGATTCTTCCGTTTTTATCGGCACAAGGGAGAGCCGCGGGCTAGGAGGTGCTCATTGACTACGGCGAGGCAGGGCCGCGGGCGAAGGCTTTTCTCGGGGACAGAAGCCCAGAGTGTGAGACCGAAACGCGCGGCTATATTTTGACAGGGTCAAAAGTGGTTGGTGGACATGAGTTGAAGCGATTTCAATGTTCCTGAGCTGTTGGAGTGGTTTTGAAGACACGACTTGTGACTCGCACGCTTGCTCTTGTTGAACACGCGTGCACAGTTTAGACCTCTCGCAAGGAAGCGATCCATCGGTTTGGCAAAGCCGCTGACCCGAGGAGTGGTGGCGAAACCGGCGCTGGCAGCCCCTGTCCAAGGATTCCGCCCTCGTCTTGCGGCGCCGCATGCGAGGGAAAAGAGCTCAGCACCTGGGAGGTTTGCTTACGTTTCCGATGGCTTACATGTCCCTCCCAAATGGACCGTTATGGCAATGCTTGAGGCCATGGTCAAATTGTTTGTCAGTATAATATAATTGTCTCAAACAAGTGTCCTGCAGGCGTCAAGACGTTCTTGTTGGGAGGGGCGCGTGTGCATCTGTTGTATATTGAACATGTAGGTGCATGTCTTACGAATTCAGATGGTCGCCTTTGCGAGATCCAAATCCAATTCCATCAGAACGCTGCCTGTAAGCAGCGGATGCCACCGTCAGATCAACGTCCAGGCTTGAGGATGCACATCTAGATGGCTAAGATGCTATGTAGTGGAGTAGTTGATTATTGCTGGAAAGCCGGTTGCCGTGGGCAGGTGCCATGTTCCAATCCAGTTGCAAAGTCGCAGAGTTTTCCTCAAATTGCCCATACCGTTGGGAGAGGCTCGGGAGGAAGCCGCACCATTTGCTGCATTTAGGTTGTGATTCAGGTTTATATTCATGAAATGCCCAAACTCTGTGTGTAGCCGTTGTGTGTCATTTGGGTTGTGGTCTAATTTTGTTTTCCAACGCCGAGACATGAAATCGTGTCGGTGCCTGCGAGCATGTCGGGGCCATTGTGCCGCCTCTCTTGTGGAGGCCGCGACCGGAAAAGACGCAGGCGAAGGGAAGAGAGGCGCCTGGGTTTGATGGGCAGGGAATGAGAAATGGAACCCCGAAAAAAGACCATCCCGTATGGTGTCTCTTAAGGGAGTCTTCTTCCGGTTCATTCCCAAAACACGCAAGGTCATTCCCTACCTATCGAACCAGCAAGAAAAGAACCCGGGTTCTTGAAGGGGAACTGCATGCACCAATTGTCTGTTCAATTCTCCAGTTCCAGAACAGTTTGCTGAAGTTGAAGCCCCATGCCCTGCTGCGCGAAAAGAGGTGTTTCCGCTAGCCTCACAATTCTTACAGTATTTCAAGGGACAGTGTCCTTGGTTTCACATGCATTGCCAAGTCCAGCTGGCCTTCGCAAAAGAGAACGTCCGGGGGTTTCTTCATTTCAGGCTTCTTTCACTTCCCATGTCCACTCTTCCCTGGTTTGTGTTTGCCCCTTGGAAGGTTCGACGCAGGACGCAAAGGCCAAGGCCAGACTTGGGCGGGGCCGGGCTGGAAGCGAACTGCCCAACTCCCTGGGTGTTTCAGGGACCCACGGGCTGGAAGGATTGAACGTGGGGGGCTTCCGTTTAGTTACTTCCCTTCAAGACAAACCTCAAAAAAGGGTACTTTGCAGGTTGGGTCTGTGGTCAAAACTACTGTTGTTGGTCTGTGGACCTGCGGCTTTTGTCTCTTCCAAGAGACGAGCTGTGGCAGATTGGTCATGCCCGCCCTAAGCCGAACCGCAAAGGCATGAATAGACGAGACGCATCGCAAGAGACGAGGGAGGATCAGGGCCCGGTCTTTACTCCAAGAGGGACCTCCACGGCATGGGCTGTGAAAAAGTCGCAGTTGGAGGTGGCAATTTTGAAAGCTGGGCGCTTACAGGGAAGAAAGGCAACCAGGACATCAGACCTTTCACAAATAGAGACACCCTTCAGTGCTCAAACCTCAAAACCTCTGGCGTATCAGCATACGATAATTGTCCGACAAGTCCGCAATGACCAGCAGAGGCCCCCCAAACAAGCAAAGAAAACACAATCCAGCTTTTTTTTGCAACCCCCACATGTGGCATGTTGATTCGTTGATCAATCAGTTTGTCTCAGTTATATCTCTGGGGGATTGACGCTAGGACGTGAGATGCAGCTTGACCCACAGCGACAGCCGAGTTATCGGCAGCTTGACATACCGCGGTTCCATTCAGGTTGGTCCAGTTGCTGGCTTGTTTTAAACCAATCGACCGGGTTGTTTGCACGCCCCCGCGAATCGCCAGCCGCGTCTTGGGTCTCTTGTCCCCCCCCCCCACAGAAAACCAACGAAATCAGCCCAACCCACGTGCCCCCTTAAGCTTGCTGGTGCTCAGCAGGGAATGATCAGGGAATGAGGGAACGACCCCTAAAAAAAAACCATCCCTTGTGGTTTCCTTTCAGGGAATTTTCCTGGGCTCATTCCATTTCTCATTCCCTACCTATCGCACCAGCAAGTAAGGCAGGGGGATGACCCAAGCCAGGCGAGCGCCGGTGAGTCCGCGAGGGCGGGCAAGACCGGAGACGATGGCCTGCGTCGGGCGAAGCCCATAGACTTAGATTGACTCGGCCCCTGTTGAGGTTGATGCCCCAAGTGCCAGTGACTATCAACACAACATCAAGAGTTGCTTTTTTTCCCCACTTTCTATTGGGTAGGGAATCAACCAAAAGCAACGGGTTCATTTCAGCCATGGTGGACATACAATGTGACTCTAAAGTTGTTGCTCGCCACTGGTCCTGGTTGCCACATAATTCGGGATTAATGCCAGCAGACAGCATGCTTGTTCTTGGGACACATTGTTCCCCATTTTTGCTCCTGGTGGTTTAGTGGTTGAAATCCAAATCCACTTAACCATGCTTAAAAAAGAAAAACAACATGCTCCCCAAACCCAGCGTCAACCAGCAGACAGCGCTTGAATGTCCGACCCGCCAGTTGAAGTCGACACCTTTTTGCGTTTCGAGCTCAACTCGGACTCGGAACTCGGATCAGCGTGCCTGTGGATCGGAGCGAGGCAGACACCCGCGAGAAATGGGTAACTTTGCACCCTGCCCTGCCCTCTTGGCATGGCCAGTGGACCAATCCGCAGATGGTTTTTGTTTCCAAAGATATCATGGAGCACCTGACACCAGTGGACCAATCCGCAGATGGTTTTTGTTTCCAAAGATATCATGGAGCACCTGAGAAGTCGAGAGTGCAGTGAAGAGTCTTGATTTGGCTTGGCATTGTGGTCTGCTCTCGGCTGCTCTGTGTTTGGCTTCGCAGTCAGATTCGTTGGCCCATTCCAAGGCGAGATGTGGGCGTTTGGTTCCGAGGAGACTCGCGAGGTCTGTGGAGGCGGGCATTCGCTTCGAAGTTCAGGGAATGAGCTGGAAGCTATTTATTGCTGCTTTCTGGAGTGACCCAACTCATGTTATAATGCAGGTCCGCTGTGAAGGCATCAACCGGAAATGAATGGCAATGCTTCGCTCTTGAAATTCCACGGCTCAGTCTGCTGATTCACAGACAACCAGACGTAGCTGAGAGAGCCTTCTAGCGTTTGTGGTGCTTGATTTTACTCGCCTGTTCCCTTGCTCGAAAAGTTGGTGCTGGTCTCTGCCAGGAGCGAGTTACGGTACTTCTGCACGTGTGTTGCTCGAACGAATGGAGTCATGTACGTGTTGATGACCTCGATTTGGTTTTTCACCATAGATAGATAGATAGATAGATAGATAGATAGATAGATAGATAGATCCGCTTTCCTGCTAAACTTGCCAAACAAAACCCACCAGGAGTTAGGCGCCTTTTGTTGTGCCCCAAACCTCCATTTGCATCCTGCATGATGTCAGACAAGCGAAGGGCATAGGGTGTGTCTCAAAATCGGGTTATCCCAAACTGGGTGGATGTACCTGTTGGTGTCCCTCTAAACCAACCCCAAAAAAGCGTAGCCCAAAAAGAAACAGACCCATATTCACTTGCGGTGAGCTTTGCATGCGTAGGGTGACAACCAGATCGGTCCAAACTTGAAGTGAAACGTCTATGTGGGACCGGCAGCGACATTCGTCCAAGAAGCCAACGTGAAAGAACGACCAACTATCCCCACTTTGGTGCATTGTGCTTGGATGCTAGGACTTTAACTTTTTGCCAACTACTGGGTTTTCCATTAAACCACTAAAGGTGAAGCTTTTGGCAGGGGAGCAGATTTCGCAACCGAGTCCGGGATGCATTCAAGAGTTCCCGTCGCTAAAACGAGGCTGGAGGTGGGCGGCTTCTTTGTGGAGATCCCCGGGCGCCGGCCGGGCAAGGTGAGACGATGACGTTTTTTTTTTTTTTTGGGGGGGGGGCGACGATCCAGCGACTTTGACACCTGGGCACTTGGGTGTGAAGCCCGCCAAAAAGACTTAGGAGTGTTTGGTGTCCCCCAGGCCGCGAGGCCACAGGCTCTTGACCATTCACCAAAGGGAGCCCCGCAGCCTTCATTAGAAAAAGGGCTGCATCTTCAAGGCGCGTAAGACGATGGTTTTTGGGTCCCGCTTGGCTTTAAAGGTAATTTATGTATGGCGACCGGATTTTTGATTCCAGGGGACTTGGGCGAACGGAAGCCATGCGTGGCGGAGGAAGTTTAAGCCGCAAGTGTGATCAGTCGGCTGCCTTGTGTTCTGGCAGTTTTGTTGGTGTTTTTTTCTGAACGCTCCTTTGCCGAAGTCTGATATGATACGTTTCTGGCGGTTCATTGAAGGAATTGCTTGAACTCGGCACCCTGCCACGAAGTCGTTTTTCGGCGCAGCTTTTGAATCGCCGGGATCCGCAGGCCTGTCTCACCGAGCAGATTGCTGGCTTTCCTGTGCTGCAACACATGTCAAAGCCATATATATATATATATATGTATATATATATATATATATATTATGCTCACGTCCAGAGTTCATGAACTGTAAACTTTTTGGGACGGCCATTTTAGTGGCAAATAAAAAGTGCAGACTTTTTTGGCCCGACTCAGGAAGTGAGTATGTTCAAGACTGGAATGATTCTTCCAGCCTTCAAGGAGAACTGAGATGCCTCAACGTCTCCTGTACAGGTTGGGCCGCGCTCCGTGGAGGCAGGGGTACAGACAGTCTCCAGTGATTTCCAGGATGGGTGGCCAGGCAATGTGTATTTTTGGACCAGGCGATATTTGATATGACAAGGTTCCACCATGAAATGGTTACATTTACAAGGCCTGGATCCTTGCCTTGTCTAATGTTATAACATTCCCTGCCTGTCTTGATTTTCATATTTCGGGTATGTTGTAACCTACCCATATCAGCAGAGAAGTCGTTGCGCCAACGGGTCCCAAGCAGAGCTGACAATGCTGTTCGACAGCGAGGTCATACTGTGGATGGACGAAATCCATTTCGCACCACCTAAGAAAGCCTGGAAGGATGTTTCCCTATGAATACCAACAAACAACGGTTTCAACCATGGATTCCAAGTGGTGCGAACGGATTCTGTCCATCCACAGTATCGGTATCTCATGGTGTCGGGAATTCTCTTGGCAGATGCGAGCTGCCTGCGGTGGAGTCATCCTCGATGGTTCCCGCCTTCCTGCTGGGAAGCTCAAGCAAGCTGGGTGTGTCCAAGTATGGGATGACTGATTCAATTTACTCAAATACACTCCCTTCCATAATCTTAGAACTACAACAAGCTTCTTCTTCTTCTTCTTTTTTTGGGGGGGGGGTCCAGTTTTTTTTTTTCCTGTGTGGTTCCAAGATTATGGACCAAAGAGTAACCTGTTTGCCCTTGTAAACCCTTTCGGGTTTCCAATCCATTTGCAAAAAAAAAACGGCGGCAAAAAAAACGGATTGTGCACCAAGGGTCCAAGTCTTGCCAGGTTGGTCCCCAACTTGGGCACCGGAGTCCAATGTGGGACCTTTCCTCTAGGACAAAAAGGCGTCTCAATGGCTTGGCTTTGTACCTTTGGGCCCCCAGGTCGAAGGTTAAAAAGACCGGGGAGATCCGGTCGAAGGGCGGTTTGGAGTCCGGCTTGTGGTCCATCAGTCCCAAAGCACCCGACCCGCTCTACAACTGGAATCTGCTTGGGTATGTTTCTCTCGGACGCTAAAACGAGAGGTGTCCTTTGGTTTCCTTTCACCTCCAAAAACGGGTGACCTCAAAAAAGGCGCACCCATGTGTAAATCATATGCGTACCTGGCAGCGGAGCAGTGCTCAGATGTAAGTGGATCACCTGCGCAAGCTCCGTTGGGAAACTCCTCAGCGCAAACCAAATCTTTCTGGCTATTTCAGGTTCTACCTGGCTTTGTGGTTATAGGGCTTGTATATTTTGGTTTTCTTGGTCCCCCGAAAAGACACACCCACATGCCATGGAAAAACCCACCCCCAGCTGTTTGTCCCAAAGGGTGGACCCCTTGGATGGTTTGAAAGGGACACCCAGCGGAACCCAAGGAGCAACACGCGTGTCATATAAACCGCTACCAACTTAGTAGAACCAACAGTTTGCCGGGTTTCCGGCGCTCGCTTTGGTCAACATGTCCATGTTCAATCGCAAAAAATGGCGATCACTCAATTTCCCCATGTCCTTTGGGGGGGACAAGTGATCTCGACTGCAAGAACTATACCAGCTCATCAGGAAGGTCCCTTACCGTGGTCAGACTCGGTTTGACAAAAGGCTGCACCTGCATATACCTGCATATACCTGCATATGCATCTACCAGTGTGAGATTTTGTCCATCCACGGGCCGACGGGGAGTCCTTTTATTTCCGGTTACCCGAAGTTCATCCCATTGGGCTTCCGACTGCTTCAACGTGTTCAGGTCATCGCTTCGCCACAGCGGCTGTTGACGGAAGGCCAGAAAAGGAGCAATTGAGCGATGCACGAAAGCCCTGTCGGTCGTTGTAGATGGTCTAGGTCCCCCAGTAGTGCCCTTTTACCCTTTTTTGGGGGAGGGTTCGCCTACCAAGATAGACTACAGAAAGAAGGGTACCCTTATTCTAACCTTTCTACTGCTGGAGGACCTAGTGGCTCTACTACCTGATTTTTACACCTTGTTTCTGGCAAGGCTTGTGTTCTGCATACCAATTTTAGCGGAACCAAAAGTCGATGGGAGTTGGGCGCTGCTGAATAGGATTGCTTCGTTGGTATGGCTTGATGATGGGAATGAGCAAGCAGACGAGCGAGCAAATTTGCCATTTGCTTTAGACAAGATCAGCTTTGATGGCAGTGAGGAAGATTGTGGAGAACTACAATGGTACATTCAGAGACACTCGTGAGGCGAACAATCAGCTCTTTGTTTATTCGGTTTGTTGCACTTCTGCGATGTATTCGTTGAGACCAAACTGGTTATGTGTATATATATATATATACACACACAATGTATGCACGCTTTCTATGCTACCCCCCCCCCCCAAAAAAAAAAAAAAAAGAGAGAAAAAAGACACATATATATATATATAAGCCAATACTGGTAGTGCCAACTTAGACAATGTTCAGTGTTTCGAGCAACATTTGGTGTTGCCAGGACGTCTTAGCCTTCGAGCTGCAAAGGCTACAGAACCACCCGTCAAACGTAAAAGGCTAAGGCGTTGATCTGGGAAGTCTTCCTTAAACCGTGCCATTGAAAAGGGTAGCACAACACGGTCGAAAAGGGGAGGGACTATTGTGGGCTTCCCCTCTTCTTAGTTTAGTATTGCCAGGACTTAATCATCTAGGTCTCCCAGTGCCCCTTTGCCCTTTTTTTGGGGAGAGTTCCCCTACTAAAATAGACTACAGAAAAAAAGTTGGTACCCTTATTCTAACATCTCTCTACTGCAGGACCTCGTCATAGATCCCGAGTTCCTCATTTAGTATTGCGACTTCTATCTCTATTGCCATGACTCGGTGTTAGCCCTCTAGCTGGGAGTCTCCAAAACAGTCACACAAAAAAGAGCCAACACATACCGGAGGAAAAGCAGCTTGAGGAAGGCTGTCAGCCTGCTACCTTGCCCTCAGAGACTCTGGTTTAGTCGATGTTTTCGTTTTATTAAATGGTTGGTTGCTTTGATGTTTGCTTTGTTTTTTGTTTTTTTCTCCGGCGCGTGGCGGTTTCTGGGTAGCCTATATTCTTCCTGTTGTTTCTTTCCCCCAAGCCGCCGTGGGGGGCAAAAGCACCTGGAAATACATGTATGTAATATAGACTGTTCTATTTACATGTATAGCTATACATGTGCCAAGGTTGTTCACAAGCACCCTTACCTTCCATGTTCCGCTTATTTCCCCAGTGAAATTCAACACAAAAAAAGGCCCTAGGCCGCTTCCCCCACCCTCGCAGGTGAGAAGCTGGACCAAGGCAGCGGTGGGGTTCGTGTGAGCTCCCTATGATGCCACGGGGATGCTGGTGATACTGAGGATGGTTCCGACATCCTGTTCGCACGAAATGAAACCCATGGTTGAAGCTACGATGGTGAAGGTATCTACGCAATCATCAGAAGCCCGGGCTCCTTTGGTGCTGCGGTTTATGGATTTCGCCACCATTGACAGTGTCAAGAGAGTATGAACACGAATATGACACCAAGCGTCGCGGGAATTGTGTCACCGGGGATTTGTCACAAGCGGCCTCTCAAAACTCGGCAACATCTCGGGTCTGTGGCTCAAACGCCCCGTTTGATACTCACCAGTACCATTGGGTTGTCTTCGAATTTGTGCAGGGATGGACATGGATCCGTTGGCCAAGACTCATGTTACAGGATTTAAGAAATCCCACTTGTGAGGGGGGTTAAGTGACTTCTTGTTTCTGGCTTAAAATAATTGATGCTTGTCTCGGCAGGAAAATTTACTCGACAAGGAGACCATTTCTTTACAGTTAACTTTTTGTTGCATCCAGAATTCAGTGAATGGAAGACTTAGTGGCTCCCAGCCATCCCCTTAGCTTCTTAGCTTTTTAGCGTTTAGTGGAGATTTCCATGTCACCCACTAAAAGTGAGTCCCTTTTAGCGGAAGATCTGAAAACGGACAGCCCAGACGGAGAGTCCGCGTCCATGGCAGGCTGGGATTTGCTGTGCCGGGGCAAGTACTTGGCATTGGAGCCTCGGCCTCGGCATGGCGGGAAGCCCGAAGATCGACGTGGCTGAGTTGGAGGTCCGCGGGGAGTTTGCTATCCGCTGGGGTCATTACTAGGTCTCCCAGTAGTGCCCTTTTACCCTTTTCATGGTTGTTCTTGGGAAACATTTTACATTTTGCTCGTTGTGGCTTAGTGAGAAAGCCCCACTTAACTGCTAAAATTTAAATTGTTGCTCCCCTTCCAACGTCAGCCAAGTAGTGCCCTTTTAACCTTTTTGGGGGCCTCTCTACTGGAAGACCTAGATCATGTTCACACTAGTTTTGGGCGTCGTCAAAGTCAGAAACTGGGGGAAGGGGGGGGGGGGGTCCGGTTCCCTTTGACCTACACTGTTACACCTAGGGAGTGACTTTGATAGTGGTACGATACTGGGGCCTGATCCAACACCTGGTGACATTAGTCCCTGGGGTCTTTTTTGCAACTGAGTACATGAGTCCATCATTCAGTCCAGCTGTGCATATGGCAAGTAACAAACCGATCGTCAAGAAGGGTCCCCCACCTGACAGACTCCAGGGCCCAGTCGCGCTTGTGTCTTTTGCTTGGTAGCATGCCTCTTGCAACAGACGCCTGCTCGCCAGGCCGACAAATAGGTTTTACTGACTTGGTCGCCCCCAATCCCCACTTTTTGCCAGGACACGTGCGCTGCTCCATGCGTTGACTTGTTGTTCCACGCCTTTTCCCTCATGGAAAGCTGAGCAGCTGGATGTGTGCGCAAGTGATTCGCCCGATCGCTGCAAGATTCGTGTTTGCCCTTTGGGCCCTTTTGGAGGGCTCCAAAACAGGGTCACTGGAGTTCCCCGCCGGCAGTTGGGCAATTTTCCGGCGACTTCCGTTGAAACCATCGCCACTGTTGGAGGTTCCAAAAGGGGAAATAGAGAAAGCCCTGATGGAGGGCCCTGAAAGGTTGCAATTTCCTGGGGGTTTCCATTAAACAGCCGCCACTTTTGGAGATTCCCACGAAGCAAATGGCTGGGACACCCCACCAAAAGGTACCCTTTTGAAGGTGCCTGTGAGTGCCTGAAGCGCATTACCCGGCACCCGGGACCCTCAGGCTGGAGGATGAGAAACGCCACGGTGCACGGAGCCACAGGAAGACGAGCCGACGAAGAGAGCCAAATGCTGCGTGTCGTCCATCGAGCTATGGGGGGGGCATGCCTGTGTGAATATGCGTTTTTGTTTGGTGTGTGTGGGTGTGTTTTTCTTGTTTTTAATTAATGCCTGTATATGTGTTTGTGTTGTTGTTTTTTTGGTGAGGCTGCCCTTTTAACCCCTATGATGCTTGGAGGTGTTGTGTGGGGAGTTGTTTTTTGAGGGAACCCTTGTCAGCTGGATCTTTTAAACCAAAAGGGAAGCGATCATTTGGGGTTCCCCTATGGAAAGACACACCCATATGATGCTTGCAGGATGAATGCAGATGGTTGCCCTCAGCCACTGCTCAGGTTCACTCAATGTCACAATACTGTGCAGGTATCAAGTTGCATGCACGCACGTGCACAGTCATCTGTAAGCAGATACGTGTTTGTATATGCATACGTACGTGCGCACATTCACACAGAGACGGACAGAGACAGAGACAGGGACAGGGAGAGACAGACAGACATACTTGTGTACGTAGTAACTCCTACTGGCACAAAAGCACACACACACACACACGCACACCCACGCGGGCGCGCAAGATTCCATCACTCATCGCGGCAAGTGCTCAGGCGCAAAGGGGATCAGGTTCTGTTTTCCTCTCTGCAATACAGGGCTGCTGGGGGTTCATTGTCCCACACGTGCTGCTCCAAACAGATACTCCTGTGAAACTGCACTACTTGCCTTGAAAGTCACCCTGATCGAGGATGAAATATGTGCGTCTTGAATAAGACCAAGCGCCGCTGGTGAAAGTTGGGGATGCATTCCATGCACAAGTTCGCAAGGTGTCCAACTGCAAAGCGTTTTCACGTGTGTGCGTGTAAAACAAGATCCGGGCACAACAGACGTGGCATGCGGCAGTTTGACACAGCAACGAGCTCGGGTACAACTTGACCACTTAGCAGCATTTTGTTCACAATGAGAGCGACCGTGTACAACTTGATGCCTCGCACTGCTCGCTACCACCAAGAACAAAGACAACCCAGGCGACTTCTTTGAAGCAAACCCAGGGATGATGTTCCCAAGACTGAGCAAAAGCCTTCAAATCCCAGATCTGGCTCTTCTGCGGCGGATTCTTCGGGCGGGTGCTGGGGCCGGCCGTCGGCCGGACGCTGAGTCACAGGAAAGACCCAATGGGCTGGTATCACATAGAGAGGTGCTGATAAGCTAAATAGGATAGCAGTGTGTGGCATATAAAGAGCCTGCATGGCCCTTTGGGAGGACATTGTTCTAATTGGGAATTTATATCCACCAATCAGGGTTGAGGGAGTTCCACATCAAAAATCACAGCTACTTGGACAAGATTGGACAAGCTTCCATAGATGTGATTCATATTTGTCCTCTGTTGGGCTTAGATTATCAAGGGTGTAGCGACTCAAAGCAATTTCTTGTCCGGGGAGCGACGCCGGGAATTTCCTTTGGAGAAGCTCAGTCCAGACTGCGTTGACTGCCCATGGATGTGGCTAAAGACTTGTTCTGAGTAGCCGTAATCTTGCGTTTGGAGTGATGACTGACACTCGCATTCAGGCTTGCTGTTCTTCAGATGTCGAGAAAAGCACAATTGTCCTTTTCAGGATTCGCATGGCTTGTGCTGTTGTTCCGATTCGATGATCACATCCAGGAGCACATGTTTGGCAGCCTCACGGCATACGGCAGCATCGGAGTGAGCTTGTTCGTAAGCGAACTAGCTGACGAGCTCAGCTAGACCATCCGTCAACATTGGTGCGGGACTTTGAGGCAAAAACGGAGTTTCGCCCAGATCTTTGCTAGCCTCCGGCTCGGCATGACCGCGCCGGAGTCGCAGTTTGAATTTGTTGCCTGCAGGTGCGTCGCTTGGACACCCCTCCGAAACATGAGAAACTGTGATTAGCCATGGTTCATATCATCATCAGGGACGTCGCGTTAGTGACCGACCTGTGGTGTTTTGGCTCAAGTTTTGGGTTCCGTCGCGCCTCGAATGGGCGTCGCCGAACCCCTGCGTCGACCGACGGCATCTCGGGGGAGAAAGAGACCTCGGGCCGCCGCCAGGTTGGTAGGGACCAGTCGTGCGGCCTGTTGTCGACCAAGGTTGCGGGTTAACCCTTTTCTTGTTTGGTTTGTTTTCCTTTGGTTGTTGTTCTCTGGTGTGTGGGAAACCCTGATCTTTGGGACCGGGGATTGGTTTGCTTTTGGGGAACCTTTCTTTTGTGGCTTGTTTACCCCAACTTACCCATTGCCTGGGCACAGGCTCGTGCCCGAATCACAGGTTATCAGCCGTAGGACTTTCCTACGCGCTTGAGACCATCAACTACAAGCTCTATGTCGACCCCACGATCTCGAAGGAGCGTCGTGGATGAGGAGGCCATCCTAGGTGGCCTCCGCTCAGGTGAGGACCTACCGGACTATGACTACGAGGATTTCGAAGCAGGTTCGACAGGTCAGGACCGCAGGGGTGAAGATCCCGGTAGGGATACACCCAGGAGCCGTGGCAGGTACGCCGACGATGGAGACGATCGTATTTTCCGCCAGGCCACTGATGACGAGCAGACACGAAGGGTTTACTCCGGTAGGAGTGGCTCTGAATCAGGTCACAGGCGTGGACGTTTTGACTTCATCAGCATGGCGATGGACATGGCCCGCCCTCATTCGGATGACCCGGAGGCCATGCCGATTCGACCTCCGAGACCTCTTGTTCCAGGTGAGTCGCAGGTCTCGGATGAGTTTGAGAATAGGCCGCAGGGACCAGGGACTATGGTTCTGGCTCCGGGAGGTATCCCGGGCCGATCCATTGGTTCTCAAAATCCAGGTCAGTTTGATGAGCACGAGGAGCGGAAATTCACGGACTTCGGATACGATGATCTGTTGAAATCAACCGCAGGTTGGGGCAGTAGCTCAAAGCAGGGATCTGATGCCGGTAGGCCCAACCCTAATACTGCCAAATCTGAGTCTTATGATGGCGAAGGTTACAATTTTGCGGATGAGGAGGAGAGCCATTCGCGCCGAAATGCAGGCAGCCGTGCGACTGCAAGGACTAGTCCCGCCGCTGCCAAGTTTGAGGTCGATGATGATGACGAGTATGCCGCATTTGCGGATCGCCGTGATGAGGAGGAGGACCAACCACGACGAAATGCTAGGATCCGTGATGCTGCGAGGCCCAGGAGCCTCTCTCGTGGAGCCGCCAGGGACCTTCGCGTTGACAGGGATGCCCGAAGCGAGAGAGAGAGAGCCAGGGACAGTCGGGAAGTTCTTCGGGGATTGGAGGCCATCCATGACCGTGAGGGACCGGTAGGTCCCCCGGCGATTGGTGATACCCCGAATGTTCCCCCTTTTCCCAACATTACGTTTGGAGGTCCGTTAAATCAGAGAGACGTGAACTCGAACCGGGTTACTGGTTCGCCGAGAGTCACTGAGCGGGTTGCCGATGTCGTTGGGAGAGGTGCAAGAGATGGCCGGCTTGCCGATGCACTCGGAATCGAGGATCGTCCGTCGATCGCTAGCCCGTTAGGGCGAGATACCAGTGACCTTGAAACGCTAAGGTCCAGCAACGAGTTCACACCTCAATGGGGCTCGACCGCCAGGGAACGTAGTGCTTCTGCGACCGTCACCCCTTGCCATTGAGACCGATAGAGACCGATAGGTCGAAGGCGAGGAGGGCTAGCCCCTCACCAATGGACTCAACTCCGCAGGATGAGGAGATGCCTGATCCTGCTGATGTTCACATCCACTCTACTCCCGAGTCTCGTGCGTCCCATGTTGATCCCCGTTCCGGCGATAGCCGTAGAAGGGGTTCTACCCCTAGCAGGCCATCTGGGGTTGGTGATAGTCCTGTGGATGACCCCAGAAGATATGCTAGAGCTAGTGGGGCTCCTGAGAGGATCGAGATATCGACTCCTCCAGCACTCAGGTCTCATTCTTCCGGTGAATCAGGTGACGCTAGGGCAAAGGAGGTGTTCGATTTGCACATCCAGGAGATGCTCGAGAGAGGTGAGGTTTCTGGCTCAGTCGCGAAAGCGTTCCATATTTTTGCTGACCAGATCAGGTTACTGAACGGTCAAGTGAGTTCCATGAGAAGGGAATGGAGCGACAAGAATCAACAGACGAAGTACAAGGTCGATCGACTGGCAGCTGAGGTTGCGAGTCAATCTGATGCCGGGAGGATGCGAATGATAGTTCAACGGTTCGCAAGGGAAGTTATTCCCGATAGCAAGGCCATTGTGAGGCAAGCCATCGATGAGCAAGCCGAGGTCGTGGAGCAGAGGATTAACCTACTGTCCCACGAGGTTCATGAATCTGTCAAGGACAATGAGGCATCGACTGATCGGCTTCGCCAGATGATTCAGGAGAATAGTGAGGCTGCCCGCAGAAGCCATGCCGCTTCTGAGGACGAGATCCTTAAGGATTTGGACAAGCTTGAGAAACGGATGTTCTCGGTAGAGAAAACCGTTGGGATGCGGACACCAGCAGGTGCATGGAACTCGAGTCCTGTTGCGCATCCGTCCGATAGGGCCAGCGGCAGTGTAGTGGACGCGAATTTCAGGGAGTTAAACCAGAAGGTCGAGAAAGCTCTCCTTGAACACGAGACATTTGCCAAGTGGGCCTCTGAATCTATTGAAGGGATCAAAGAAGAGCACACTCGTCTTGTTAATCGAGTGTCGAGACTGCAGAGTGGAAGGGGTTCTCAGGAGGTCGGTAGACCATCCGAACATGATTCCCCGCAGGACTGGCATGAGGCCATTGACGAGATCAATCGGAAGATGCAGGATCTGGCTCGAGGAATTCAACGTCAACGTCGAGATCATGACGACATCATTTCAAGGTTTGAGACCGTGAAATCACATGTTGAACAGTATGAAGCGAGATCGGCAATTGTGAATCGGGTCGTTGATGGTATTCAAGGACAGATCCGTAATCTTCCTGCAAGCAGTGACCAAGTGCAGCCTGCCGTTAGGCGAGAACTTGGCTCGTTCCGGAGTACGCTTGAAGGCGTTATGCGGAGAGTAAGCGCTATCGATGGTAACGTGCGTAATCTTAGCGCAGCGAACAACAGAATCATGTCTCAGCTCTTTGAAATGGAGGGTCAATTTGACGAGGCCGCTGGCATCATTCAGGGTGTCCAGCAGATTAATGAGGCTCCTCAACAACCCAGAGATAGACGCAATGTTGGTTACAATGCATTTGCGGGGCAGGGACATAGGATCAGGTCTCCGACGCCCACACCCGGGGAAGGTGACGGCCGGGGTACTGGCCGTCCGGTGGGACCAGGCGGAGGTGTTGGTTTGCCTGACCAGGTTTTGCCAAATGTGCCCAATAGGGTCGAGCCTTCTCGTGCAGACAGGCATCCAATATATCCCGTTAGGGAGGGGTCCGAAAGCAGAAGCCGGAGGGCTCGAGGATTACCTGACAGGTCGCATTCACCGCCAGGGCGTGCGAGGGATGGCCCCCGCGCGCGCGCAAGGGGGGACTTTTCTGTTTCTCCAAATAGGGATGTGGGTAGGAATAGGAGCCCGAGGCCTGCCGCCGTCCCCGATAGGGGATCTGAGGTCCGAAGTCGGCAATCAAGGGGGGAGAGGCCAATCCGCGATAGCGGGAGCATCTCTCCGAACCTGGATAGACCGATCCGCGATAGCGGGGACGTCTCTCCGAACCCAGACCGTCATCCAGGAGGTGGTAGGGGTATTAGGGCCCATGTCGATACCCAGAGTCCCGGCGATGACTGGAGGACTCCTGGGAGCAGAGCTAGTGCAGACGTCCCGAGTCCCGGCGAGAGGTGGAGGGCCCCTGGAGCTCCATCTGATCGTGGACAGGCCCCGGAACCGGCCACGAGAGGCGCTCCCGGTGCCGGTGGCCCAGGTGTGCCAAAGATTTGCGCCCTTGATGACCCCAACGACCGTAGGCACCCGGACGCTGAATTTTCATGTGTTACATGCAATCGTGAGTTTTGCAGGCTTTGCCGGGGCGATGATGGTGATTGTAGTAATTGTCAGTTTTTGAAAATGAAGTGCTGGGCGTGTCGCAAGAATGCTCAGGAGGTCTCCATGTATTTCTGCACGGATTGTGGGACCCACGTCTGTGAGAATCATAGTTACTTTGGAGATGACGGCCTTGAGCGACGCGCGCGCTGCAAT